GGCAGCGTGCTGTCACCTTCCCCCCCGGCAATGGGGAATGGACTCTCGGACCAGACGCCGATCCTCTCGAGCCTGCCCTCCTTCCAGAGCTTCCACATCGTCATCTTGGGGCTGGACTCCGCCGGCAAGACGACGGTGCTCTACAGGCTGCAGTTCAATGAGTTCGTCAACACCGTCCCCACGAAAGGATTTAACACGGAGAAGATCAAAGTGACGCTGGGCAACTCCAAAACGGTCACTTTCCACTTCTGGGATGTGGGCGGCCAGGAGAAGCTGCGCCCGCTGTGGAAGTCGTACACCAGGTGCACCGACGGCATCGTCTTTGTGGTGGACTCCGTCGACGTGGAGAGAATGGAGGAGGCCAAAACGGAACTTCATAAGATTACTAGGATATCTGAGAATCAAGGAGTGCCTGTCCTTATCGTTGCTAACAAGCAGGACCTGAGGAACTCTCTCTCCCTTTCTGAAATAGAGAAAATGTTGGCCATGAGCGAGCTGAGTTCTTCAACTCCCTGGCATTTGCAGCCTACCTGTGCAATCATTGGAGATGGACTCAAAGAGGGACTGGAGAAACTACATGACATGATAATTAAGCGAAGGAAGATGCTGAGGCAGCAGAAAAAGAAGAGATGAGTTCTGCTTCGACCTTTCTCTTTTAGAGTAGTTACGTGGTCAAAATTTGACGTACGACAGCTTCCAAACCCAGGCCTGCTCGTTTGGATGCCGTTAAGCTTAGTTACATTAAACAATCAGTTGCACAACCTTGCCTTGTGGAAGGCTGTGCAGTTATGGAACTTCTTGTTTTGGTTTGATTTTTATGTTGTTTTTTTTTTTACTAGTCTCCTCTGAGTTCTCTGGCTCTGCATTATTTCAGAAGCCCTAATAGATGATGTAATACTATCAGGAAATGGATGGGTGGGTATATGTGACATGGATGTCTAAATAGCCAAATAAAATGAGGGGTTTTCTGCTTAAGTGTTGTATTCATATGTTTGAGGGCCCTCTGCAAGCAATTTGCATTGAAGGTGTTCTGTGTTTTTTAAACTTCTAATGCTCGTAAGTGGAGTGTTTAGGTGAACATTATACAGCTTTAAAAACATGTATGAAGCTAGTAACCCATTATTTCAAGGGGCTGTTTTTTACCTTGTTTGGGGATTTCTATGAAAGCTTGGCTACATGTGTAGTTTTTGTTTTAATTTGGCACTTTTTTAAAAATTGAATCGTTCCGTTCAAATACTTGAAATTTAAGTGCTGTGGATTCTTCAACTGGTAAAAGAAAGACTTTTTGGACAAGTAAAAAGTGTAAACAACACGCTGGAGCATGAAAAAAGTGGTTTCCCAACATATAGCATGTTCTTGGTATGTAAGGTTTTTATTTTTTAGAAGTAGCCGTTCATCATAATACAGTGCTAATCGGGTTTAAACTGTTACTCAAAATTAGTAATTTATTTCTGAGTGATGAGCATTATGGCCTCCTATCAAGTTAAAAGTAAATTAATTGCAGCAAAGGAGCTATAACGAGCAGCTCTGGCTGTTGTGGTTCTAACCAGTGCAGCATTCTTGGCTCTCTACTGGTGACTTTTCTGGCAATAAACCAAGACTCTAATGAAGTAAAGATGGAGTTAAAATTAGCAGAGCACATCGTGTATCTCCCCCAAATACCCCATTTTATTAAAGTGGTATTGCTATGTCACTTTCAACGTATGCTTTTTTATCGTGACTCTTAAAGTATTTTGTGGTTAGGAATGTAATAATGCTTTATAAACTCAAACATTTGACACTACCAGGGGCGAGGAGGGGAGGGAGAAGTGGGAGAAGAAGATTTTCAAGATGGGCCTGTGTTCTGCTTTAATTATGCTTTAAGCTGTTCTTGTTTACAGAGTGTGCAAACAGTGTTAACTGGGCAGGATAGTGCTTGACGGAAGAGGGAGGGTAGTTTTTCTTACTGGTACAGAGCTTCAAGTGACTCTTTAGATACTTGGCTAGCCATTAAAAGGGCTAAAATAGAGCCTGATTTTTAAGACTACCTTTACTGGTGCTGTAAAAATTCATCAGAATGTTAGATTCTCTTTAAACTTTTGTTGGAAATACCGGATTGAAAAAAAAAAAAGTAAAAGAAAAATAGCAAAACTCATTTTCTCCTCTTACTCAACCAGCGAAGTAATACATTTTTCTTACCTGCTGCCGTGTATCAGGAGGATGACAGCTACAAACCTGAATGTCGATCAATGTAACTTAGATCTATGTTTTAAAAGGAAATAAAAATGAGACTTTTTAACCAGCAGCTGTTCATCCAGGAGGTAACCAAAAATGCACTTTAGTGTCTTCAATAACTGAAAGTGACAGCTGTTTGTTTTTTTTTTTTAATGACATCTTGGTCCTTTTTGAATAAACTGAAGTAGCTTCCAGTGGAGCTTTTGTATGTTGGTTATATATGTACCTGCACTGGTGACATTGTAAGTCACTTCCTCGAGTAATGTCTATATTTATAGAAATGTGGATGACTTCTTAAATCTTCAATAAACAATTCAAAACAAGCCTGCAGAGAGAAGGTGTCTGACTTCTTGTACTGCAGCGGCATGTTCTCCTTAACCTCTGCGCATGCAGCGATTCTAATGACAATTAACTATTTCTGATGAAAACCAAAAGTCATACAAACGTGGTGAGGCTCGTTAATGTCACAGCGTTATAAATTGCAGGTATCTCATTAAAGACTTCAAATCAATGGCATGTCTGTATGTTCACAGAAGAAATATTAACTGCAGTGACTCCTGAAGTGATGCACCTTGCATAATTTGAAAAAGCTTTTATCCAGCTGAGCCTATTTTGTGTTACGTGCGATGTTTAATAGGCATTTATCACATGTACTCACAGGTGGTACTTAATTTAGTGTCTTGAGGCTCGTATATCTGAAGCGGAGGGATTCACGTGTACTTAAGGCCTGGGTGAGTTTCCTCCTTGGATTTTACGGCAGTGAGTAGGATGTGGCAACAGGTACGGAAGCTTCTAATTAGTTTCAGGAGCTGAGCACAGACAATCTTTATTTAGCCTGTGAACTGAAATTGCTAATTTCAGATAAGAATATCCAAACCTATTTCTCAAAAAATCTGATATTTTCACTTCTGTTTATGTAACTGCCATCATATAAAAATGTAGGTTACTAACAGTCAGTCTCAAGAAGAAGCTATGTCAGTGATGCTGAACCCTACAAAAATGGCCTGTAATTGGTATAATCTGGCTAATGTTTTCCTTCCTATCACGTGCTTAGTACCACTAGGCTGAGGAAGGTGAGATGACAGGCTGGCTCTTTTACCCAACAGACAAAAACCGTGCAATACCAAATAATTTTTTCCATTCTGAGTACTCGTTAGGCTTCTATCAAGCATACCTGAAAAGGCATTCTGCGTGGAAAAAGTAACCTGTATTTTGTTCTGCATATTAAATGTGCTACTTTTTGTTGGTGCCAGTCTCCCTAAGCTCTTCTGTGTATAACTCTTCAGTGAACGATTTCAAATACAAAGACGCGACTGATCTGTCCTCTGGCGCTCTGGAGCAAGAAATGAGAGAAGGTGCAGAGCAGTGTTTCTAAAATGTCACAGTTGTTATCGTGTGATATTTAATACTGGCTTGGAAGTAGAAAACTGAGTGGGGGATGAGTTTTACACTCAAGCTATACCTTTATCTGTATCTGTTTTGCTGGACTATTACAGTAACTACTCTGAGTAAAATATACAAATGTAGCTGTACCTGTGAAACTGTGTTTTGTATCACTGTGACAAAGTGGTGATTTGCAGTAGAGCTTTGGGTATCTTGGCCGATTCAGTTCTGCTGGCATAGATCTGTGAGCCCAGGATCACTCTCTTCCATATGAGGAACTGGCAGTTCTGGCCTAAATATTGGAATGTGTCAGAAAATCTTTAGAGGAGCTGAATAAGGAGGTGTAATTCTGTTACAATGCTGGAGTTACACAACTTTAAATTTTAATTTATTTTTTTTTCTAAAATGGGCTACAAATGACATCGTGTTCTTCAAGGCACGGGGTAAGTTCAACATGTTAAACTTTTCCTTTATGGAACTGCATTTAAATTGGTGAAGCACTGTTAAAAATAAGCCACAAGGTCTTGTAACCTTGCTGCTGTTTTCTGAGCTTACAAAAGTTGGTATGACGTTGCCTCAGCTGTTTATGCACATGCAATCCTTTAAAGTTAACCAGCCAGCAGGAGCTGGTGTCTGTTTTCACGCTGCGTAGTAACTTATGACTGTCTCAGCTAGAAAAAAATCTGTAGGATGGTGAGACCCCTTCATGTTCTTGACATCACTTTTAAGTTTTGTGCACTGGATGTGCATTTATTTACATTTGAAAAAAAAAACATGTATATTCGTTTTCAGCCAGGCAATGGGTGAAACCCTTCTTTCTTCAAATTCTCGTGTTTTACTGAGACATGGTTGATCTTTGTGTGGAAAGTAGGACCCTGTCGTCGCCAGCCTGACTGAGATGGGCTTCTGGAGTGGTGTGTAGGGGGGTCCTGCAGGAGTTTGTCACCTGGGTCGCAGAGGTCACAGAGAAGGGGAGAGCTGAAAGCAGCCTGGTTGGGTGGGGGGTAGCGAAGCCCTTCTGGACCCCAGCAGGTCCTGGGGAGGCGGGGGGCTATCTGCATCCTGGAGCACGTGTTTACAAATAGCAGGGTGTTAATTAGTGCCTGGCTGAAACTTTTCGTGAAGTGTGTCATCCTTGGCATGGGAGGAGGATTTGGATACTGTGTGGATGCTGTGAAGAAGGACTGAGGGAAGGGAGAGCGTGGAAACAGGGAATCTGCAGACACTCTGTATAGGGCACAGACCTGACATACAATTTTGATTGAGCTGTGGGGATTGCAATGCACAAAAGGTGTGCTCGTGATGCCATCTTTAATGTCTTCTGAGAGAGAAAGGGAAGCAGGAATCAGTGCTTTCTGGACCAGTGGTGTCAATCTAGTGGTGCGTGACTCCTCTTTTGAGAGGGTCACAGCTTAGAGCCCCACTGACAGCCCGGAGCTTCGTGTCCCTGACCCATAACAACTCTGGCTGCTGTGGGAAGGGATGTGTAGGGAGATGTGAATGGGCATGGTCTCCTGTTTAGTCCAGGGGATGAAGTAAGGTTTTTGGGTTTTTTTTTCCCCTGAGTGACATAGCTATGTGGAGGCCTGCCTCTCTTAACACCGCTCAGCAAGCTGTGATTATTTTTAAGAGCAGTATGAGACTGCAGAGCTGTATGGATAAACTCTTGTATGTGTTTTTTAAACTGAAGAGAAATACTGCAGCAGGGTGATGCCTGGAGTTGTCGTAGTCTCCCACAGCTGTCCTACCTATCTGAGAACATAATAAAAAGCTGATACATAGCTGGTACCTTGCCCTTCTTTAAAGCATTAGTCAGTCTTCTTAAACCAGCTGTAAAGAAGCAAAAATACGGCTTGAAAGACTTCATTGAAAAAAAAAACAAACCCAAACAGCAGATTAATAACTTGGGTTTCCTCCCTGCCAGTGTCCTGTTTTATTGGTGCTGGCTGGGCGATGCTGCGTGCAGCCTGCCGGCTCGCCACAGCACCTGGCGAATGGCAGTCACTGAGTATTCCCCTATTCTGCTTTTTTTTGAAAGGCAAACCCAAAATCTAAAGAGAAAAAGTAGGCAGGGAGGCCAGACAGTGCTTCTAGCCTATACCTGCTTGCTAACAGCTCAGGCAGGTAAGAGATGATAATCCCTGAGCCGTGAATGATTATGGTTTCTTAGTTCCAGCTGTATTTACACAGCTGCTCTGCAAGAATTAAGAGCTAAAGATGACAGAATAGTTAGAAAGGAGAAGGCTGAGTGTAGTTGTTGGCTGTGGGGTGTGTGGAGGGAGAGAGGATTTGAAACTGTTGGGTTTTCCTAGCTTTTCAAGAGACATTGGGCCCTAAGGGAAATAGA